CCTGAGAGGGCGGTGGCCAGGGCAACCACCTGCCCGACCCGCTAGCTTGAAGCCAGAGGGCCAGCACGAGCCGGCCCGGCTGCGGAAGGGGCGACGGAGGCAGGGCAGCCCTGGGTTCGGGCCACGCTGGACAGCAGCGAGGGGAGGAGAGGCCAGGCCAGGAGAGGCGCCCAGGCCCAAGTACAGCCCGTCGCTGCTCACCGTCCACCACAGGAAGGCTAGGACACGGGCCACACTCTGGTCACTTCCCCTGCTTGGGCCTCCCCTCCCTCTGCCCCAGCTCCCTCCACCCCCAGCCCACCCTAGTAAGCAGCCTCCCATCAAACAGAAAGAACAGGGGGAGGGTGAGCACAGGAACAGCGGGCGGCGGTGGCTTGAGCGGGCCTCTTAGCCTGAGGTGACAGGATGGATGGGCAGCAAGCTCCCGAACTTGAAGTGCTGGATCACCGGGAACTTCTCCAGGCACTGTGGGGGAGGTGAGCACATGCTTCACAGGGGCTCCACCCAGGGCCGGAAGTGGCCCAGCCAGTGCAGGCCCAGGCCTTGGAACATTTGGGGAACCCCACACCCTCACTGCCACCCTGACCCCTGTTCCACAATAACCAGACCCACCAAAGAATGCGGGGAGGAGAGAAGGGAGAGGTTAGGAGAGAAGAGAGGAGGGAGACAGGAGAGAGGGAAGAGAGGGAGGGAGGGGAGAGGGGAGAAGAGGGAGTGGCGGGGGAGAGAGGAAAGAACGGGAGGGGAGGGGAGGGGGAGGAGAGATGAGAAAAAGAGGGAGAGGAGGCAGCCGGTCCCAGAGTCAAACCCAGGGAGAGGGATCCAAGTGACATCCCCTGGCCGGGTGGGGGCTGGGAGCAGAGGTGGAAAGCACCCTCCTGACCCCTGGGGCCCCTAGGTCCAGTCCTGGCAGAGGCTGGGGACACTTGAACATGGCCTGAGAAGAGGGCCAGGCCCCTTTCCTCCAGGTTTCAGTCTCAGGCTGGAAATGGCGTCTTGGCACTTGGGAGTGAGACAATAAGAACCAGCTGACATCCAGCAACCCCCACCCACCACATTCCCAGCAGCCTGTGCTGGATGGGGGTGGGGAAGAGAGCCCTGCAGGAGGACAGGAGCCGGGTGGCCTGACTCAGTCCAGGCCCAGCAGAGGAGTGGGCCCGACTCCAGTGCCCCCCCCCCCCCCCCCCCCCCCCCCCCGCCTTGGTCCCAGCTAGCTGTCACAGGCAGGGGCTTTGGGTGGTGGGGTCAGGGCTGCCTGGCTGGCCCAGGCCTCCTCCTACACCTCTGGCCACAGAAACCACCAGGGTATGCCGGGCACTTCCCGGCTAGGCTCTGCGGCCGTGGTCGCAATCTCCAATTGGCCTGGAGGGGCAAAGGGTGGCTGTGACCGGCCCAGGGTCCCTCACCTCAGAGCCGGCCCGAGGGCTCAGTCAGCTATGAGCTTCCCAGAGGCCAAGAGGGGGGCCAGGAGGGGAGTGGAGGGACAGGGACCTAGGCTGGAGGTGCAGGCCCTGGGCCACAGCCAGGCCCCCAGCCAGAGGCAGAGGAAGTGGGGAGCAGGCAGCTGGGGTGGTCCCTGGGGCCAGTAGGAACAGATCGCCCCAGAGGCACAGGCAGCTGCCACTGTGCTTACATCATCCAGGAAGTGGTGGGAGTTTGCAAAAGCTCCCCCCACCCCCAGGGCCCTGGAATTCCAGAAGGGGTCAAAGGCCAACCCGCCTCTAGCTCTCTCGCAAGAGAAGCCAAAGGCAAGGGGGCAGGGCCAGGGCTCTCCACTCTGACCACAGGGCCCGGACAGGACAAGCCCCTGGGGGCCACAGGAGAGGCCAGGAGTTGGGCTGCAGAGGCCAGAGCAAAGGAAGGCCAAGGCCCAGGGCAGATGGAGCCCCCCCTCCAGCGGGCCTTCCACCGGGCGCCCGGGCGGAAAGCTTCAGACCCTCCAGCCGCAGGCCCTCCTGAAGGCAGCAGCAGGCCGTGAAGGCCCTCAGGAGTGACAGGCCCACCACACAAGGACCCTAGAGCACTGGGCTCTTCAAAGCCTGAGACCACCTCAGGCCAGGCTGGCCAGGCTGCTGCAGACACCAGAGAAGGCCGCGTTCCCCCAGTCGCCCACTCTAGCGGGTGGCCCGGGCCTTGCTGACCCCTCTCTGGCTGCAAGACTGGCAGGCACGAAGACCCTGCCTGTGGATGGAGAGCGGTCTGGGAGGGCAACTCCCCTCCTTGCGCCTCTGGGCAAGCCAGGTGCTGTCTCTAGGACTCCAGGGACCAAGGACAAGGGCTACCAGCAGCTCCCCAGTGAGTGACAGTGCTTTCAAACCCGCAGCAGGCCCAGCACCCGCCCTCCCCTGCTGCTCCCAGAGCTGGAATTCCCCACTTCCAGGAGAGCCTTTGTGTCTCCTGGGCCATCCTGTGCTGCTGTTGCTTCCAGTGGCTGTCCAGCGGCTGTCCTTCCTGCGTTCCGCATCCTGTATTTGACACCCACAAACACTGGCGGCGTGCACACGGTCGACTGCTCTGTTCTAGCATTCACGCTCCTCGGCTACCATCTTGAACCTCAGTTTGCTCCTCCCTCACCCTCTGTCAGCCTGGAGTTCTGTGCCTCTGGAAGAGGCAGTTAGGCGTAAGGGACCAGGGTCTCTTGCTCTGCCTTGAGGGGGCCTGGGTCCAGGTAAGTTTAGAGTCACTCAAGTTCAGAGACCTGCAGAACACCGGGCGTGGCCCACACCTATAATCCCAGCAGTCTGGGAGTCCGAGGTGAGAGGATTGCTTCAGCCCAGGAGTTCAAGATCAGCCTCTTCAATATAGTGAAATCTCCTCTCAAGGATCACTTGAACTCAGGAGGTCGAGGCTGCAGCATGCTCTTGATCATGTCACTTAACTCCAGACTGGACAACAGAGAGAGACTCTAACTCCAAAAAAAAAAAAAATCCTGGCCAGGTGTGATGGCCCATGCCCGTAATCCCAGCTTTGGGAGGCTGAGGCAGGAGGACTGCTAGAGCCCAGGAGTTAAAGACCAGCCTGGTCTCTTCAAAACTCAAAATAAACAAATAAAAACAAGATTACAGACCTGGCACAGTGACTCACGCCTATAATCCCAGCACTTTGGGAGGCCGAAGTGAGAGGACCGCCTAAGCCCGCGGGTTCGAGACCAGCCTGGGCAAATTGGCGAGAACTCATCTCTACAATAAATCCAAAAACTAGCCAGGCATGGTGGCACGTCCCTGTTGTTCCAGCTCCTTGGAAGGCTGAAGCGGAAGGATCGCCTGAGCCCAGCAGTTGAGGCTGTGGTGGCAGGGAGTGGGCCATTGCCCTCCAGCCTGGGTGACAGAGTGAGACTCCAACTCAAAAGACAATAAAAATAAAAATAAGATTCCAAGTAGGGAAGGCAGCCACAGTCCTGTCTTGGACACGCGAGGGTGAGGGGCCGGGGGAAGCCGGAGGGGTGCAGTGTACCCTCACATGTGGAGGAGACAACTCTAGCAGTGGGAAGGGCACAGCAGGTGACGGAGCTCCCCAGCACCACCCACCATGGGCCTGGCAGTGGCGGGGCTGCCGGGAACATCAGGACACCAGAGGGCAGTGGGGGGCTTCCAGGCCTGGAGAGCTGTGGTGAGAGCCGGGCAGCTGGGCGGGTACCACAGGGAGGCCAGGCAGCCTCAGCACACCCAGAGGAGAGAGGTATGTGGGCTGGAACCTAAACACAGGATGTGAAGTCCAGAGGAAGGGACTGGGGGAGGGGCAGAGGGAGAGAGGGCAGGCTGCTGTTAACCCCTTCAGGGCCTCTCGTTAACCCCTTCAGGGCCAGGCGAGGGCAAGGGCAATGGCCCGGGAGCCCGGCCAGATGGGAGCCTCTGGACTCGCCACTTCTGGCAGCCCTGACACCTCTGCTGATGGGAGGGAGGAAGACAGAGCAGCCGTGCCCAGGAGAGAAGGATGGCCAGGAGCCAAGAGATGGGTGGGGCCTCAGGACAGGCCCCAGGAACTAGGCAAGGGCGGGCCTGAAGGCAGAGAGAAGGGATTCTGGGGACCACCCTCCAGGGAGGCACTTTCCATGCAGGCCCTTCCCTGGTCAAGGTCACAAGGCCCACAGTGTGGGAGGAGGGCCAGTGGAGGGAACAGGGCAGAAATAAGCCCCAAGAGAAAAAAAGGCCACCTCCTTGGCTGGGGGTCCAGTGCCCAGAAAGAGAGGAGGTGGGAGCCCAGCAGGGGGCGCGTCACTGACGAGGGCAGGGAGCCCACTGGCATCCAAATCCCTGAAGGATCACGAAGAACGCCAGCCCGCATCCCCCGACCTCCCAACTGTCCACACTGCCCTACCACTTTGGCGACGCCTCCAGGGCGCAAGACCCTTTCCCAGGGACGCTGAGGGGCCTGCAGCCATGAAGGGTGGGAGGACGGCCCCCATGCCCGGCAGCAGGGCCCTGCCTCAGCCTCTGAGCTCATAAGGACAGGCCAGGTCTCAGGCCGGTGCTGCTCTGACTGCCACCCACCCTGGATGAGAGACGCTGGGGTCTCACGCATCAGGGGCCTGGCCTAAGAGCCAGGGCCGAACTGCAGGGTCGGGGAGGAGAGCCCGGGACGATGTGTGACCGCAGAGGTGAGCACACAGCCGCCCCCACTCACCTCGGCCTTGTACATGCGGACGAGACCCTGGTTCACTTTGGACCAGGAGGGGACAGCGCTGATGTTCCACAGCTGGTTGGAGTGTTCCGCGAACGGACCAGTCTTCATCTGGAAGAGAGTTCGCGTGCTGGAGGGCAGGGGCTGCCGGGCTCGCCCCAGCCCCCTGCAGCGACAAAACGCGCTTAGCGACCACCCACAGCATCTGCCTATGGGGACACACGCACAAACAGGCCCGTGTACATGCCACAGACGGGGCCCCCTCGGCCTTCAAGGCCTGCTGGAAGAACAGGGCGCTCCTTGCCCTTCCCTCTCCCACCCCTGAATAAGGGGCCTGAGTCCCGCCGCCCACCAAACCCAGAGCCACAGGACAGTGAGATCCGCCAGGCTCCTGGCACAGCTCCAGCTCCCAGGAGCCTCAGCTCCCATCCAGATAAGCAGCAGCACGGCTGGACCCCAGCCCTGCCCGCCCTCCCTGCAGTCCCGTACAGGGCACTCCGCATGCACAAGCAGGGCTGGAAGAACCGGGGAGAGGGCACATTTCGGGGAGGGCCGAGGCGGGCTCCAGCCAGCCCAGGCGTCCGACTGCCCTCCGCACACGGCCAGGGCGAGGGAGGAAAGAGGGCTGGGCCTAAGGCACAGGTGCCTGCAGACCCAAAAGGAAGGTTGACCTGGCAGCCGGGGGTGGGAAAGGATGGCAGCCTGGTACAAGAACAGACAAGAGCAAGGGCAGCGCTACTGCTGGCCGCCCTCTTGCCAGGTGGGGCCCTCCGGGAAGGAAGGCCAGTGACGCTCACAGGCCACTGGAAGGCACAGCCTGAGGGGAGTCTGCATGCCTGAGGGTGGCCCTTTGACACCACCAGGTCCAGATCCCCTCAGTACACCCCACCCCCGTTCACAGGCCCGCGCTTGTAAGGGAACCAGGCTGGGCATCCCAGACCACAAAACACTCTGAAGAGCAAAGAGGCTGGATCTGGCAAGGAAGCAGAGGCTTGGACCCTGAGTGGGTGGAAGGTTCCAGAAGAAGCCGTGCACGGAAGCGTGGGGGGCTGGGCTGTTCCAGGGAGACAGCTGGAGCTCGGAACTCCTTCTCCATGTTCCCACACCATAAGCACGAAGGCCCGGGAGCGCATGGGCTGCACTTTGGGCCGTGGGCTGCTGCCTGGTGACCCGTCCCGGCAGGCCTCGAATGGCTTCAGAAAGGGCACCTCGGACAAAGCAGTCAACAAGGCTGTCCTCTCGAAGAACCGGTCTCCACACCGGGCTCAGGAGCAAGGACGACGGTCTCCTCCCCCAGAGCCCCCAGCAGCCAGGCCAGCTGGTCGCGGGGGGCTTTCCGTGGCCACCCCTTCGCCGAGGCCCTCGCCTCCAGGCGCCCAGCCGGCAGGGGCCTCCCCCTCAGGGCG